AGCTATGATAATTATTTCCCAATATTTTACTCAAATAAAACGACACAGGAATCTAAATCCTAATACACTATTTCAGGGATGATAAGTATAATATTCTAGCCACAAATAATAACTTGATCGGATATTGATTTCACGAATTATGGTGCATTTGAAATAGGTTCTGCTATAATAATTCTATAGGTTTGACTACCCAGAGACTTAATGCTTGCTGAGTATTTAACAGTGAATTCAAGATTATTAGGTATACCATTATCAGGTAATGGATTTATAAGTATTTAAAGGGTTGGAGCATTGAAGGCTAATTCTATATATTCTTATAAAGGAAAATCATTATTTGGAGTAATTAGATAATAGTCTATGTTTGAACAATCTTTTAGGTTTAATTATGGAAGAGTAAATTATAGTTTGAGTATTTCTAATTAGCCTTTGGATATTTTGATATCAGTTATATTTTGAAGTGTTGTCACAAACATTAAATCATCTATGCAACTTCCATAATAAATCTGAAACTATAAGTCTTAGTTTGTAGCATAAATTTAATCGCTTAATAGAAATTAGGCAGTTACATTGATTTTATGTGTTTTATTTACTTCATCTGATATCAGTTGCTCTATTTAATTGGAATCTAAAATGATGTATTCGTTTGTGTATCATTGTTAAAATGTTTTTGGTTAAATCCCAATATTTTAGAAAGTAATCTGAAACTCATAAGAGTCAGGGCATAATGACTCTTATTACTGTTTTGTAAAATCTTTTAGTAAAAGCTAATAATAGCCAAGGTTGTAGTTAGAATCAGGCAAATTCTCAATATAGTACCTGATATTTGAAATATTTAAGTTAAGGTTTTGAATGAATTTAATAGAGAGTTCACCTCTTGCACCACATTAGTCAATAGTACCTTCAAATTCCATGACATCTTAGAGTAAGTCTCTTTTATCTATGAGTTAAGTATCTGCAGTTTCAAATGAAAACCCTTAACTCTCAGTGTAAAGTGGACCAAAAGTAGCTAGATTTGTAAAAGCTTCTATGAATCACTCTATTGGTGCTGTAATAAAATCTGCAATATCCTCAAGAGTAATGAATGCACCGCACTTTTAATCAACATAATCACTATAGATAATACTAAAGGAGTAAGTTGATTTTATCACAACTGTGTAATAATTTCTGTCGCTCATCCTTTTTGCATAAAGATTAGAAATTGCAAAACTTGAACGTACTTTTATTTCTTGTATGTCATATCGAATAAATTCTGATTTCTCAGTAATTAAATTGTCTTCTTTAAAGCTAAAGAATACATATTTTTCAGTTTTTTATTCTTATGAAATAATTTTGACCAGGAGTTTATATATTCTATCATGGTATATCACTTCTAGATAATTCATATATTAATTTGTAGAATAATTAGCTCTTTCAGTATAACTGTCTCCAATGTTTGTGTAAATAAATCCTGAAAAATATGGACTTTCATACTTTTCATAGCATATAAAGATAGTATTCTGATTTTCATTATAGTAAACTACAGATACCTTAGTAGTCAAGAATATCTATGGATATGTTGGACTTCAATAAACCAAGTTTTAAGTGATATGGCCAATTTCGTCTGTGAGTTTAAAAGACAAAATAGCATTTTCAAAACCAGGATTATTTGTTATTCCTGTAACTATAGTTTAATTTTAAGATGCAATTGGAATCAGAGATGATAAAACAGTAGGATAGTTTAATTTAGTCTACCAACTAGTGCCATCTTGACCCATAGTTAGTTTTAAAATACTTGGTTTTTCTTAATCAGCATAATATGCAATAATGTAAGCGAAGCCGTATTGGTCGACAGTTAATAGATGATTTTAACTTTGCACTTACTTATTGTCAGGTATTGCTACGGCGCTATCTACTCGCATTAAATAATTATCAAATTTAATGACTCCCAAATATGCTTTGCTATCAGATTTAATTGTGAAGAAGCTTTTGCCATTTTTAATATAGATAGCTACAATTCTGTTAAATTCCACATCAGAAAATCTGGTCAGAATTGAAAACATCCACTTTAATCTAGAGTAATATATATCTTAATCG